AGAGAGAGAGAGAGAGAGAGAGAGAGAGAGAGAGAGAGAGAGAGAGAGAGAGAGCGCGCGTGTGTGTGTGTGTGCGTGCTGACCTGCAGCAAACAGCATGAAGGCAACGGGACCATAGAACCGCCGTCTCGTGCCGATACACACGGCGACCAAAGCAACCAGAAATGACATCAGCACCAAGGCTCCGCCCCCTAGCAACAAGGCTAGTGTGGCGAGCTGCCAGTCTGAGGAGAAAATGAAAAGTAAAAGAAAAAAAGGGGAAAAACAGAGCAGAAAAAAAAGTAAAGTTAGTACAAAAAAATCAAAAACAAATAAGCAAGAATCTATGAAATACATAAATTTGATAAAGCTGTTAAAATGTTTCTATAAATCAGAATTAAAATGTTGCAGCCACTAAATGTTTTTTTATGTCCAACTCTGCCTCCCATCTGATCAGCAGCAATAACGTAAAACTGAAGTGAAACAGTGATTTTCTGTCAAATAGTTCTCATTTTTTAGTTTATCAGTCATAGAGCACAGTGTTTTATAGAAAGACACAAGTCTTTATCCAGCCCAGGCTTATGGTTWGACAAATGAAGGTTGTTTTAATCATTTTCTGGCTTATAAAACAACTTATTTGTAAAAACAAGAACCTGATATGAGACAATTCTACATGACAGATGGACTCTTCTGCCCCTGGCACAATGCATGCTCTGTAATTCAGTATTTTTTAAGACATTTGAAGGAGGGGCAAGCATCTTTCATTACTAACCACGGGAGAACATTTGGTACTGAGGAACACTGGTACCAAACAAACAGGTCGTTAATGCTTCCTCTTTTGTTTTCAGGACTAAATGTTCTTCTTAGCAATCAAATGTAAGAGAAAAGAAGGATAAGGACTGAAAAGGGTTGAAGGACTGTCCATGTAGAGATGATGGTGAGTTGTTCGGTCATGTCAGAGAGTGATTCATGGACAGTTTACACAGAAATATGCACATGAGGAGGAACCACCATGACACTGCAAGGACAAAGAGAGGGGAGCTTGAAAACAAACACAAGAAGAAGGGAAACAGGAAGAGGAAGGAAGGTAGGGGAAATGTTTTGGGTGGGAGGAAGGTAAAAATGTGAGSCGGGGACAGTGATGTGGAAAGTGAAGGTTATGAAGAGGGAAGCAGTGAGTGTACCTGAACTGACAAACAGCCTTGGCTAAAAAGCTTCGCAGGCTTGTTGTCAAAAATCTGTCTGCATTTATTTACGGGGAGCACTCGGGATTGAAGGGCAGTGAAAACAGCACACATAGATTCTGACAAGTGGTGGCGTTTCTACAGTTTCAATGCAGAAATTAACTACCGTATTTATTCGTGTATAATACGATCCCATGTATAATACAACCCCCCCTTTTTTAGCTTAAAAAGCGTAAAAAAATTTAATCCTCAAACTGCCTCCAGTATCATGCAGACTTCAAGATTTTTCAGCCTTTGCAGTCTTTACATGATCATTGGACTGTTCATTTTATTTTAACAACATATGTACTAAAAGGTATTTTGACAACAAATATATATCAGCTGTAGCAGCATCATATGAATTCTGGCATTTTACACATAGTCCACCAGGAGGCACCAACACAAAGGTCAGAGACTTCACATGAGATTTGGGCCATCTTGTGGGGGAAAAGCAGATTACTTCCTACTCGCGAGCACCCCCTCTGGTAGGGAAACATTTTTCAGGGATACAAACTTTTTCAGAACACCGGTAGACGGCAGCCATTACAGACAAACATGGCTTGTTGTTGTTCAAGGAGCGTCACACGCTAATGTCATTAGTTTGCTATCATTACTGAGGTGCAGGAATACTTTTTCCCCCTTTTTTCCACATCATGTCTCCTGCCTGGATCTGTTATTATCTCGCTCTGAAGCACAGAGGAGTGTAAGAGGTACACTCATTTCAACTGCTTTTTATGACGCGGTCTCTTTTCCAGACTCAGGCATTTTGAGAATGAAGCCGATATTTCAGTTAAAATACATAAGTAGATATATTTATCCGAGTATAGTACTACCCCCCAACTTTATGGATGATTTTATGGATTTAATTTTACATATTATACTTGAATAAATACGGTAATCTGCATTGATGTGACGACAGTCTGATGTTGAACAAAAAGAATAATATTCTAACTTAAACTTGTAATTTTTAAAGCAAATAAAACGTATGTTTTGAAGGTATACATGTCACCATTAGTGCTCAGAATATGGGGTTAACTCTCAGCTACTACCACATCAAATTTTAGCTGAACATCTGTAAAAACAATAGCATTTTTGTTTGGCAAACTGTGGCAACCATTCTGAATCAGGYTGACTCCAAAAGCAAATCCATTGTAGAAGCATATATATCTGAGGCATGTTTTCTAATGTGTTTGGTGGTTTTACAAAGATATTTTGCTAACAGATAAACAGGACTAATTGCAACAGTCAGTAATGGGTACAGTTAATCAAAAAGTTAGCTTTGCTAATGCATAATCTGCAAAGTAAAAATATAGTTTTGCTTATGCTAAACGTGTTAGGGTTGTAGCAGAAAAAGTATTTTGTTTAGCGAATTATCTTTCTCACAAACTTTGAAAGTCTTTATTGAACCAATTAGTTTCTGCTAAATTTGGTTTTGCGATCTTTTCACATCTAAGTCCACTAAGCTAACTGTCCAGGCTCACCAGTCTTCAGCATGAAGGAGACGAAGACGTGTGACAGTCTGAGGCTACGTTCACACTGCAGGTCTTAATGC